ACCGCAGCACAACCCCAGCCCTCTTTATGATATTCTTTTTTTTTTTTTTAATCATACTCTTTTTTTGAGAGAGAGAGAATTTTTTTTAATATTTATTTTTTAGTTTTCGGCGAACACAACATCTTTGTTTTGTATGTGGTGCTGAGGATGGAACCCAGGCAGCACGCATGCCAGGCGAGCGCCCTACCGCTTGAGCCACATCCCCAGCCCTATGATATTCTTAATGATTGTTATTCAGTTCCCTTAAATTATCTTCACTTTCTACATTGCCAATAGAAAAAAAAATGCAATGAGGAAAAAAAAAACATATCTCAATGGCTAGAATTTCATATGGCTATCATGTACAAATCAATAATGTTTCCTAAACACTTCACTGAAAATCCATTTTGGGAAAATAATGTTTTGAGAAGTGCTTATAATACCAATCTGAGAAAGAACAAGAAAAGTAGTAGAGTTCAAGTGATCAGGCCCAAGATATCCTGCTAATTATATTTGATAGAGTTGATCTTCCTAAGTAGAATTAAGAAATATGGTACTACCTGAATCCACAATTAAGATAGCCAGCCAAGGAAGCCATCAGTAATCTGCCTTTGGCAAATTTAATTTGTCTTTGTTCCTGTTGACCCAGGTACAAAGAATAATAAATAATAACTTTCTCTTAAAAGAGTTAGATATGTAGACACATTTTCCATTCTACGGAAAGTTAAAAAAAAAAAAAAGACCCAGCTCCATACCTTGCCTCCCAAACATTCTAAGTTAGATGGTATAAGATAACATAATATAAAAAGGGAGTGGATGAAAAGAAATTTATTTTGGGAATTCCAATACTCATCCAAATAAAAAACATTAAGTTTATAATATTTTATTAAATAGCTGATTCTTTAAACACACTGATAATGTTAGATTTACTCAATAAGTATAAAGAATAAAATTTCATGATGATAAATCATGATCAAAAAAAGTATATTTCTTGCTGTGAGGAGTTTTATGACCATTAAGCTTAAAATTAAGTAAAACTAAGTTATTTGTGTCTTAAATCACAGAATAAAACAAATGTTCTAGGATGGAAAACAAAAACTAACTACATTTTTAAAGCAGTAATTACCACATTCAAAACACTAAAGAGAAAAACAATAATCCAGATCTCAGAAAAATAACTTGGGTCATTCGTGAAAAGGAAAAATAGGGAGGAGGGATAAATACATTAAGAGGGACATTTTTCTTCTAGTGGAAATGAAAGGAAAATCTGAATCATTCAGAAGACTAAACTATTATGTTACCTAGCTAAAATACTGCATATAAAGTGGTGCTCATAGTTACACATTCCTTCATTCCCCAAATATACTATCACATTATTTGAAACATAATTCCATAAGTTTAAAAAAGTTTAGAGTTGAGAAGTTTAAAACCAGAAAGATGATCATTGGTGACAAAGAGAAAGCATTTAAGAAAACATGAAGGATTTTTAAAGTGAAAAAATCACTGAAAATATAAGAGCTTATAAGAGCAGGAATCTATTAAGATTTCCCTCCTAGTGAATATTTGGTGGGTGAGTACAGATAGATACCAAAAGAGACAGGAGGGTCCATGTTTGTATAAATATATCGAATATATACTGTCATGCATAACTCAAAAGAAGAATTAATTTTTTAAATTTTTTTAATAAACTAAATGGAGCTTCCGGGGGGGGGGAAAAAGAGGTAGAAAGGTGTTATCAAGTGGTTTTATCCTTTTCTTTCCCCAAAGCTACAATGAATAATATGGTTATGTCACTTCTTCCATTCTCCCTACATGATATTTAACTATATCAGCATTTCTTTCAGTTTATACTGTGCACACAATCATTCTCAACAACATTCCTACCAAGTTTAACTTGGCATCTGGTGCCTCTCCAAATTCACCTAACAGTGGACTCATGACAGTACAGAAAGACACCATCAGATGTAATTAACTTCATTACATGTAACTAAATACCCAGGATTCCAGTCCAAATAAGTGACACTTACTTATGTCCATTTAAGGCTGCATGGTGTAAAGCAGTGTAACCGGAACTGTCAGTGCAGTTCACATTGGGGCCTCTCCAGATGCTGCAAATAAAGCACAAGCGCAGAGTTAACAGTTAAGCAGAATCGTGCTTTGAAAAACAAAAAGAAGCCTGATAGTTTCACAGTCAGCATCATGTTGTAAATGAAAATTTTAGTCACGTAGAAAATGATTGCCATATATCATGTTTCTTCTCAAAATAACTTCATTTGTTTAATTCAGGGAAATTAATAGGATTTATAACTATTCTGGAAATTATTAGTGAATGTGTGCTCACTGCCATGCATTGAAGTTTGGATACAAAAATTCCCTATTACTTTCTATTATTATTCATATATTATGTTCAGATACTATAATCCTACCAATGAATAAAGATTTATGACACCTGCCTCCTCCTCATTAACATACTCATTCTGATTTATGTAAGTTATAACATATTTTTGCATTATGGGAAGAACATAAACTCTTCTTGCTGTTCTACTGCTACCAAGAAAATATATTCAATATTTCACACTTAAAAATAAAACTGAAGATATGGACTATAATAAACCATAAGATGATCCCATCAAATTTGCAGTTATCATTGATTCTGCTACATGATATATTCTGGAGATAGCATGTAACTATATAAAAGAGTCCATTTTATCCTTGGTCACTATAATTAAAGAAATTATTTTTAGCTTTTGGAAAAATAAGGCATTAAAAGATACTCCTCTAAAGCAGACAAAATATGACTAATGTTTATGATACTAAAGTTAACCAAGATACTATCAAATGACAAAAATTCACAAAATATTTATTGCACATCAATTGTTGGTCACATATTAAGATAGGCACTGAGAGCATAAAATTATAGCTCAAAGTCCTTCTTTATAAGAATATAGTCTGATGGAGAAGACAGACATTAAACTAATAACTAAAAAGTACTAAGATAATTAAAGGGCCAGAAAGCACACAAGCCCAACTCTGAGAAGTGAATGAACAGCTATCCCAAATAAGAAATCATGAGAGAATTAAACTAAGGTAGAACAATGAGAATGAGTAGACTGTTAAGATTCAATTAAAAAAAAAAAAGAATCAATAAGATAAGAGGTTGCAGGGAGCAATAGTCCAAAATGACTCAGACTTCAGGCTTTGTTAACTAAAAGGAAAAGGAAAATATTAGCTAAGATGTGGGGAAAAAAAAAGAAGCAGATTTTCTGGTAACAAGACAATGAAGGAGGAAACAATGACTCTTATTTTGGAGACATTAAATTTTTACTATCTGACATAATAATAAAATTAAGGATTTCCAGAAGGCTATAAAAGTATACAGTAATTAGAAATATGGTTTTCAAGTTACACTACCTGAGTTCAAAATCTGTCCCAGTTACTTGTTGGAAGTAGCCCAGGATTTAAGAACTAACCCTCTCTGAAACTCAGTTCCTCATTTGCAAAATGGAGATAATAATTACAAATTATATTATTACCTTATAGTGTTTTTTTCAGGAACAAATGAATCAATATCTACAAAGCTCATAGTGAAGTACTAGAACACAATACTAGCATGTATTATTAAAATGTAAATAGTTAAAATGTAAAAGCATAGAAAAACCAAACAGGAATCAAAACAAAGCTGAATGGCTGGACAGAGAGTGTAGTTTAGTGGTGGAGTGCTTAGTTAGCAGGGGCAAGGGAGGGAGGGAGAGAGTAAAGTAGGGAGCAATGAAGGGAAGGAGGAAAAAAGCAGAATACTTTTATTAATATTAGACAAACTAGATTCAGAGCAAAGCTATTACATGGGGGTAGAGAGAATCATTTCATAAATGGGCAAAAATATTAAAACAATAAAATAATCCAAACATTTTTGGCATACAGTAAAACTTCAAAACAATGAATCATGCAGGCATGGTAGCCCACACCTGTAATCCTCATGGCTTGGTAGGCTAAGGCAGAAGGATGCAAGTTCAAAGCCAACCTTCACAATTTAGAGAAGCCCAAAGCAACTCAGCAAAACTCTTGTCTCTAAATAAAATATTAAAAAGAGCTGGGGGGCTGGGGTTGTGGCTCAGTGGCAAAGAACTTGTCTCACCTGCGTGGGGCACTGGGTTCAATCCTCAGCACCACATAAATAAATAAAAGATATTGTGCCATCTACATCAACATCTGGGGATATGGCCCAGTGCTTAAGCATCCTTGGGTTCCATCCCTGGTATCCAAAAAAAAAAAGAAAAAATATATAAATATATATATATGTATATGTGTGTGTGTGTGTGTGTGTGTGTGTATATATATATATATATATACACACACACATTTATGAATCAAACTGATAAACTGCCAATATCCACATATATTTTAAGATTTAAATATCTCCTCTCTCAATAATTGATAAAACAAATAAACAGAAAAATCAACAATGGAATACAAGGCTTGAATAAATACTATCAACCAATTAGACCTAACTGAAATGTATTCAACACTGTACAGTTTAGATATGTTGTCCCCCAGAAAGCTCACGTGTGAGACAATGCAAGAAGGTTTGGAGGAGAAATGATTGGGTCATAGCCTTAACCTAATCAGTAAATTGATCCAGATGGGATTAACTGAGTGGTAACTGGAGGCAGGTGGGGATGGTTGGAGGAAGTGGTTCATTAGGGGCATGAATATGGGATATATATTTTGTATCTGGTGAGTGGAGTCTGCTTTCTGATCACCATGTGAGCTACTTCCCTCTGCCACAACGCCACCATGATGTTCCACCTCACCTTGTGCCCCAAGGAATGGAGAGGGCCTTCTATGGACTAAAACCTCTGAAACTATGAGCCATCAAATGAACTTTTCCTCCTCTAAAATTGTTCTGGTCTGATCCTTTAATCACAGCAGTGAAAAAGTTGACTAAAACAAACATTGTAACAATAACAGCAGAATACACATTCTTTCAAAAAAAAAACTCAGGACATTTACCAAAATATAGCATCTTGTAGATCATAAAACAAGTCCCAATATATTTAAAATCATTAAAATCACATAAAATATATACTCTGACTCCAGGGGAATTAAATTAGAAATCAGTAACTAATTAGAAATCATCAATATTGAAAACTAAACATAAGTCAAAGAAGATATCAAAAAGAAAAATAAAAAAATATTTTGAACTAAAAGAAAGTAAATACAATATATCAAAACTTTTTAGGGCTGGGGTTGCAGGGCAGACACCTGCCAGAGCCTAGCCTCTGGCGCAGGATCGCCCATTCAGTCCAGCAGACTACCTGGAGCTGAGACCCAGCCAGACAGCCCACACCAGACCGCATGGGACCCAGGCTCACAATAGGCCCTGGTCTACCCCTCTTCCACCAGCAGGGCAGACACCTGCCAGAGCCTAGCCTCTGGCACAGGACCGCCCCTTCGGGAGTCAGGCCTGGCCCAGATCTGTCCACACTGACTTACACAGGACCCATGTCCAGAGTAGGTCCCAGTTCACCCCACACACACCTGGGAGCCTAAACCTAAGCCTAACCCATCTTGGAACACTGCAGTCATTGCCAAAGCCTTCCCCACCCAGTAGCCCCTAACTTTTTGAAAACAGATAGAGCCTACAAGCAGCTGCATCTCACAGCAGGCATCCTGAAGGGAGTATGAGGCCCAGTCTTGCAGCCCCATCTTTGTAAGACATTGCTTCCATCTTGAGGCACCTTAACTATTATCTCAAATTACCTCTGCTATTTCCACCACCAACCTTAGATGCAGTAGTATATACTGAGGGATACTGGCAGGGTCTGGAAGCCAACATCAAGGTGAGGTACAGACAATCTACATGGGTACTACAAGAATATAGGGAAGAAACTGTAATATTTCAGATCCACACTGCAAGAAAGGAAGATACATAGACATCATGAGAAAACAAGGGAGGAAAGTGCCCCAAATAAACCAGGATACTATAATAACAGAATCCAAGAACAGGGAAGTTGATGAAATGTCAGAGAAGGAATTCAGAAGATTCATAAATAAAATGATCTGTGAATTAAAGAATGACCTAAATGAGCAAATACAAGCAAAAACTGATCACTCCAACAAAGCAATAAGAGAGCAAATACAGGTAGCAAAAGATTACTTCAAGAGAGAGATAGAGACTCTGGGGAAAAAAAATGTCAAACGCTTTCTTTTTTAAAATATTTTTTTAATTGTTGATGGACTTTATTGTCTTTATTTTTATGTGGTGCTGAGAATCGAACCCAGTGTCTCATGCATGCTAGGCGAGCACAGTACCACTAAGCCACAATTCCAGCCCCACCAAATGCTTTCTTTGATATAAGGAGGCTGATCCATGGGATAGGGAAAGAGAGCATAAGAGGAACAGACATGCTTTCCCCTTAAGAACAAAAACAAGGCAAGGATTTCTGTTCTCGCTACTTCTATCCATCAATGAACTGGTGGTCCCAGCAAATGTACTGACTAGAAAATGCAATGACAAGAAAGAGAAATAAAAGCTATCAAGGTTATGTGGAAAGAAAAAAAAAATCATTGTAAGGCAAAATAACCAAATCCCATGGAATCTACACAAAACCTACCAAAACTAAACATAATTATGGGATTCTGTGTGAGAACGCTCAGACTATCACTTTTACTTCACTTCCATAAGTCTAAATTTAATTCAAAATAAAATGGTTTTTAAAAGTAAACCTTACTCCAAAAAAGCAACAAAATAAAGTGTATTTAGCCAAGTTGCAAGAAACAACTTAATATATAAACATTAACTATATTTCAATACACTAGTAAAAAACAGAAATTAAAACTTCTTGAAAATACTAGCCAGTTACCAAAAAAATACCATTTCATAAAAAAATTAAATGCTTAGGAATAAATTTGACAAGAGATGTGCAAACATATACAATGAAAACTACAAAATATTGCTGAAAAAAATTTAAAAGTGCCTAAAAAATGGTGAGATATGCCAAATTGATCAGTCACAAGATGCAACTTTCAACAAATTGATATTTGGATTCAATGAAGTCAAGTCAAAATCCCAATAGCTGTTGTATAAACTAACTAGTTTTAAAATTCA